ATTTTGTTAAAGAATTTAACTTTCAAGTATTAAAGAATAATTCATAAATAAGAATTATTCCTTTTAATATATAAGATGTGAGTATTGGCGACGGATCAAATCCGTCGCCAATACTTATTGGCGACGGATTCGATCCGTCGTCAATAAGTATTGGCGACGGATCATTGGCGTCGGCTTAGATCCGTCGCCAATAAGTATTGGCGACGGATTCGATCAGTCGATTGGTGACGGATTCGATCCGTCACCAATAAGTATTGGTGACGGATTCAATCCGTCGCTAATGTTCCGTCGCCAATACTTATTGGCGACGGATTTGATCCGTCGTTAATGATCCGTCGCCAATACTTATTGGCGACGAATCGAATCCGTCGCCAATAATTATGGGCGACGGATAAAATCCGTCGCCAATACGTATTGGCGACGGATCATTGACGACGGATCGAATCCGTCGCCAATACTTATTTGGGACGGATTGAATCCGTCACCAATACTTATTGGTGACGGAGTCAATCCGTCGCCAATGTTTTTCCGTCGCCTAAATTTATTGGCGACGGAAAATCATTAGCGACGGATTGAAACCCGTCGCCAATACAAACATTGGCGACGGGGATAACCCCGTCTCCAATGTTCCGTTGCCAATGTTTGTATTGGCGACGGATTTCAAATCCGTCGCCAATACCCCGTCGCCAATGCCCTATTTTCTACTAGTGAATAGATAGTTGCATGGTAATGAAATTCACATGGAAAGCTTGAATCCGCAGAGAACTGGAAATTTTTCTCGGATTTAAGTCCATGTACATGAGTGGACTCAACCCATTTTGTCTATTGGAAGTTGTATCGACGCATGAAACAAATCACCTTAATATCATTAGATTTCATAAGTCCATGGTGGACGTACAAAGTCATCAGTACATGGTGAACATGTAAAGTCAAGATTTGAAACGTATATCCCTCTTGATTGTAGGCGTAAAAAATTACCTATAGATTCTCGCACGCATCTCGAAGTAGAGAGAACATGATGAACGTCACTATCCGAGTCACAGAAGCTTAATTGACGTCGATGAGCGCATGAAGTAAGTCGACGAACCGTGTGAAGCAACGGAACTACAGAATAACGAAGGTACGAACCAATCGGGAACTATGCGTCGCTTATGAAAAATGAAGCGCCTCTCGTGTTTCATCTACTCCATGTATGATTCAACCATGAAATCTTGTAGATCTTCTCGTCATCTTTCCAACGCATATTGAATCGCACAATTCCAAGTTCGGACGACAAAAATACGACGGAAACGGACGGGACACGCGAAACAGTGCCCCGGACCTTAGCGGAGACACCGCAAGTGTCTTGGCCGAGGCCGAGACACCAAAGGTGTCTCAGCTTGGCCGGGACACCCCAGGGGTCTCGGCCAAGGCCGAGACACCCCAAGTGTCTCGGCCGTGACCGATACACCGCGGGTGTCCCAAACCCCAAAAAGCTATTTTACGCAGTTTTGAGCCATTTTTTGACCGTTAACCACATGAATTTGTTTCAACTGATCTAATATCATCCAAGAC